AAAGATTATTCTGTTGGTATTAAATTTCTAAGTACCAAATCAGATGTGATGTAAATAAAAAAGATTCTATGAGTCTCATAATAGTAACCTTTTATTTCTGTGTGAAAGATTTTTTTTAAATAGAAGAAACAAAAATTTAGAAAACCAAATAACCTACATGAAAATCACTACTATTGCTTGCCTCATCATGGCTATTTAACTAGGAAGAGTCATTAATAATGGGAGGAAACTGTTAAACATTGAGACATTCAGGAAGTAAGCTGACTAAATCTACCTCAAGCATGGCTGCCATCTTGTGGGGACCAGGTATAATGTAGTGAGGGGCCAATCTCAAGCACCCCTTTTGGTTACATGTCATCCTTTGACTCCCATCAATGGATTGTTTTATGTCTATTAATATTCCTTGTGAAATGTCACACCAATCTTCAGACAAAGGAAATGAGGCAACTAAAAGAGATCTATCAATCTATGTATTTGAAATACTGCTTCTAAAATTTCAGTATCATGGCTACTGCGTGGACAGTGAAAAAGTTTTAAAATTTGGTTTTCACATAATTTTAATAGTAGATGAGTTTGATAAAATACTCTTGTTTATAAATTTATCCAGTTTCAGAATTTGGTTGTATTTTGCATCTCAATGAGTTAGGAGAAAAGATAATATTTCCCTAATAGTGTAGTCTCACAAATTCAGGGAAAGCTTTAAAAACAAAGAAGAAATAGAGTAATTTAGGAGACAAGAAAGAAGGAAAGAAGAATGAAGAACTATTATGTAGGAATGTATGATTTAATTACTTTTCTGAGGCTTTTTTAATCATTGAAAACCCATGTTTTCTAAGACCAAGTCTTCTACCAAATATAATTACAATGCTGGCAAACAATTTCTCTACCTATCCTATTTTATTTTTCTAGAAAAACAAGACATCGAATAAGAGCTCCTAAACAACCATTCAATTTTGAACTTCTGTGATGTACTAAGCAAAGATTTTCCCTTTCAGCTTTTCATTCAAGGATAATTTATACTTTTCATTTCCACAAATTTTTTTTAGTTATAACTTACCATTTACCATAACTACCTGCATCTATAGATGTTCGGTCATTACTTCTTATATTTTTTCTTCTATGCTTTAGGTAAAGTCCTAATGTGCTTAGAATACTGACAGCTTTAGCCACATTTTAATGTTAAGGACACAATTTTAGAGAAGTAGAAACAATGATAATATTTTTGTTTTTTTTATTATTCATTTTATGTTTCAAGTAGGCTTTCATAAATGTATACATTTTTATATTAAAACAAAACTCTTGAGTTATTGAAATATTATTGGAGATTTAAAAATTGACTTATGTAGGTTGACTTACTATTGTACCAGTGAGCAGCTGATATTTAAAATTTAGGCATCAGTGTTCTTAATGTTTTTAACTGAAAATGAAAGAATGATATGTTTCAATGATTTCTATTGCCTTGCTTTCTTTTCACAATTATATGCTAATCAATGTGCCTGTACTTATTCTCACTCCAACAAAGCAAATTAATTCTCTGAAATTGTTTTTTTAAAAATAAAAATGCCTCTTATGACTTACATCTTAAAGCTGTTTAAATTATCTACTATTTCTGCAAATTTTTAATATTCATATTGCAAATAGTCCCTGAATGAAGTACAAAGTCTTTACTTTAGAAAATAAATTCACTAATCTTGGCATGGTTCTAGAACACTTTTCTTCTGAAGAATTAAGAATTGTTTCATATAAAACTTCAGTACATGTAGGATTTGTTTACAAGATTTGAGTTTCAGCATGGTGGGCAGATGCATCAACATTTCTGTATGATAATGTTTAAATTAAAGCTAGGCAAGGGTCAGGGAATTAGCTCAGTGGTTCCACCACCTGCTTCACAAATGCAAGGTCCTGAGTTCGATCCTGAGTACCAAAATAAGGCTAGGCAGCCTTAATGAGACCAAGAGACAGCTTTCATTAAAAGTCTATTTAAAAATAAAAACCAATGCATTTGTTATTTTCTTTTCCCTTGTAGAATTTAGTATCTTATACAATGTAAATTTTTGTCACATTACAATATATATGATTTTCTAAAATAATAGAAAATAATTAATACATTGTTAAAAACTGGGTTAAACTTAGATACCTTGCAACAATAGGACACATCAGGTATAGAAATTATTTAGAAAATAAAGATTGTTTTTCTTACACTGAAAATCAATAAGTCTTTATTAATTTAACTTTAATTGTACACTTTCTTCATTTTTGGAACATTTTAATTCATCATTTAACTTTATCTTCTGATTGGTGAGAATGATCATCATACCTCCAAAGGATTTTGTGATGTGTCACCCAGATTCCTTTAAACGTTTGTGTCTTAGAACAGCCATTCTGAACTATAGCTGCATATTAGAGTCACCCACGGAAGCCCTGAAATACAGTACATACAATGTAGGCCAGGTCCCAGCCACAGAGATTCTGATTATATTCATCCTAAATGATCCAGCTAAAATGCTTTCCACGCTATTCTAAAGTGAACTTACATTCAGAATCATTAAATTGAGCAATTTAGGAATATCCAGAATATCTTATAGTTCATGCAAACAGATTTCCTAGAGAGATGATATAAATATGACCATATTTAGCTGTCTTCATGACCAATATTTATTGTCAGAATTGAGCCAGCCATTGCAGATTTAACTAGCTCTTTGATTCTTAGATACAGCATTCTTTCCATGTTAAATGGTTTCGTCACAGTTTTTTTCTTGGTAGAACACATAGTGATTAATCAACTTTTATAATACCCATGTGAATGACTGAAGCAAGCTGGGGAAAACCCATCCATTCTTTTATTATCTGTATCAACAAAGTATAATTCATGAAAGTATATTAGAACTCCTTAATAAATAGTATAATGACATCAGTAACAACACAAGTATGGTCAATATTGTGTCCATGTGTACTAGGGGGTTGGGGTTAAAAAAATGGCCAAAAGTGATTGAAAGAAACTGAATCAGGGGTAGGTTCTGGGAAGCACTGTTTTGCTTCAGATTTAGAAGGAAGTGGAATTCTAGTCAACAAAGGATCATCTCCGTGAAATGCTGGACTAAATAAAATGTGCAAAAGTTGTGGTCTATACTGTCTGGACACTGATGATCTCATTTTGAAGCAGTCTTGTCTGACTCCAGGACAAAGGCACAGGGTGCCATGATAGCACAGAGAAGGGGATTTATTCCACATTAAAGGAATTCACTCCACTTCATGGGCAGTGAGGTGGTGAAGGAGAGGGACTGGGTGGCTACCGTGTAGCTCCCAAGAAGTATTCACATAAGCAGCAAGAGGATATCACAAGATTTTCTGGAATATTCTGGAATACAAAGATGATTGAAAGTACTTTGTAGCGATGACAATGTACGATTGTGTTCGCAGAAATAACAACCCAATTCACCGGACTAACAGAGAAGGGTTCAAGCAAGAGTATAAGAAAAGACGTTCACCACTCTTGGGGAGGGGACTGAAAAAGGATGAGGAGCTTGAGATTCACACATCCAAAGTAACAATATTCCCAGAGGATTAAAATGATAAGGGAAACAAAATTTGGATCGTTAATGCCTGACCTCAAACGGGCACTTGATACTGTTAATATATATCCAGTTTTCAACAAAGTCAAATTCATCAAGTTCATCGTTATAGGAAATGAAGTCCCAGTCGTCAAGAATTCACACTGAAGAATAAGCTGGCAAAAAATCCTCCTAGGGTGGAAGGCTGGTCCTTCAGCCTGGGTGGATGCATTCAGTCCTCCTTCAGTTCTCCCCAAGGATGACAACCAACTTCCCCACTCTGAATTTATCAGCATGGGTTATTAAGCTATTCTGTGCATTATTCTGACCAAGTGTTTCACCGAAGTATTTTTCCTGTTTTATTTATTCTTTTCAAATGTCAGGATCTTCTCTATTGTGAGAGAGGACTTCTATCTACAGAAAGATATCAGGATTCTTTCTGTATCCTGATTGCCTAAAAAACAAATACACTGGAGATTTTAAAAAAAAATCAGTGTATAAAGGTAATTAGCACGTTCATTCCTTTTTATAACTTTATAATTGAAATCTCATTAAAAGCTTTCTAGGTCTCCTTTTCCCTAAGTGACCAGGTGTTCCCAATTTGTTTTCAACCAATGTGACTAATTGCAGGCAAAGGCTAGAAAAAGTCTGATACCTGTTGGAGAATAGCAAGGTTAAATAAGTGGGGTGGCGTTTTTTGGGTTGCTTTTAACCTCTTAAATGGAGGGGGGGGCTCCATCGTCTTTTCTCTTACAGTCCTGCCTTTTTCTCAGTCCCAGCTGAAGACTCCAAAGGAAATGAGACACGATTTTGTTTCTCCCTCGTATTGCAGATAGGGGGAGGAGGTGGTTATTAGAGAGAAGCTCTTCCTCTCTCGGTTTCCCCTCTCCGCCTGACAGCACCGCTCTCTCAAGCTCGCTCCTTCTCCTAGGTGATCCATTTCTAGGCAACGAGGGGCTGCAGCCGAAGCTGCCGGCTCCCCCCGCGTCCGCGTCCCGCCCGGGACCGGCTCCGGAGCATCCTGCAGC